GGGTGTCTGTGTGTGGCTATAAGGAGGGACAGCTTCTGATGGGGCTGATCCGTAGATCCTTCCTCAATTTTGTGAAAAGTTTCAGAAATGTTTGCACTTCCCCGTAACTGATGTTTCATCTAGGATGTGCCAATTAGAAAACTGTTCTGGAATCTTTTAGAATCTGTTAATTCCCCTGAGGTCTGAGGAGGCATGCCAGTTGCTATCTAGTTATCTGAGATTACCTTCCAGCGTTTAGAAGTCCTGCTTAGGAAACCACAGGGCTACTTGTTTGGGGTCAGGCCAAAAGGCAAATTCCCCTGGAACTTTAAAGAACTAATCCTCAGCAAATCTCACATGTAAGTGGGTAAATTTAAGGAAACATAAACAATGACTAAGGGTTTAAAATATACTCTCTGCCCTCAATCAACCAGTAGGCAAGAAATGCCTCTGAATTGAACACTGTAACATGAAATGTTCATGCCTGAAATCTAGCATTCCACATTTCCTAGATTGTGGGCCAGTCATATTTCCTGAGCTTGATAAATCCAAAGAGCGTGCTATACCTTCTAGAGTGGTATAAGGTACAGTCTGTCTTCTTACCCCCACTAATTAAAAAGACATTTATGAATAATTGAACTTAAACCAATCACCTGTGTTCTTTAATCAGCAGAGGGTCACACACGAGGCTTTCTACAAAGCTCATAGGTGCAGGATGATTAATCATCTTGATTTTTTGAAGTAAAAAAAGTATCACCAAATGCTAGTATTTCAAGGGGAGATTTAACAAGGAATACTTGCAAATGGAGTACAGATCAAAATCAGATCTCCGAATAGACATAAGGATTTTTACTTTAAAAAAGATGAATCACGATTTTTTTTTTTTTTTTTTTTTTTTTTGGTGCTAGAGAGGGAAATAACAGTTGTTGTTTGAATGAAGCACTTTATATGTGTTGCCTCTCTCTTTTATGAGAACTCTATGGAAGTAGGTGTTGTGATTTTCAGAAGAGGACAGAAGCTTGGATGGAAAGCAACTTACTTGTGGCCACAGCTGATTAAGTAGTGGAAAAACATCCAAACTTATATCCACTTACTGCAAAGCTGGTGAGATCAACATCTCAAACAAAATGCAACATCTCACTTATTAAGGACTCACTGTTGAGCTTTAAAATTTTTTTTGACTGTTTCTCTTTCCTTTGATTTATTTATTTTTATCCTATTCTTTTGGATCCTCTGAGTCAATTTCAAGGTTTAGTGCGTAATTTAATTCAGACAATTGGGGCCATTGCTTAGAAAAGTTTTAGTGGAATATATCTAAGGCTCACAAAAGTTTTAGCTTTATAAATGAATCTCAACAAAGACCATCTAAGAACTGACGAGGAGACAGAATCAAAATGATTTTACTTGTTACGTCCTTTCCTGTCCTGTTGCCCTGGGGTATGCCCCTCTTTAGCCAGGTGTTGCCTGTTCTCAGTCACGTACAAGAAGGGAGTGCTAGGCTAACATTCCTAACTAACAGGAGCTTTGACTTCTGTCTTTTTCATGGGAAGGGTAGAGAGGGGAAATTTGAGAGGATAATATACTGGCTGTCCATGGTGAGGCACTAACTGTACTAAATATGGCAAGAAAGGAAACATCTCAGTTTTTCAGCCTGAAGAGTCCAGACCTGGGTGACCTTGTTTCCTAGAAAGGGGTGACTGAGTCATCTTCAGTGATTCAGTTGAGAAAAGGAAAAAGATTTGAATAAAAGCTTTTATAAAAGGTATCTAGGAAAAGGAAAGGCTCACAACAATTATCTCAAAAATAAACTTTTATTTAAATGTACAGTTCATTAATAAAAAAATGTTTATCGACAGGTCATCAGGACTCTGTGCATTCTAACATGTACCTTTAGAATTCTGAAGATCCTGAGCATGATAATTTGGTTGTATGAGCCGGACTCCTGAGGCATTACAAGCTTTTAAATCACATTTTAGTATCAAGTGACATTTAAAAAGAGCAAGATAGTTTTGTCAAAGCCAGTCATTTTGTTCAAAAAATTCTCTTCCTCCTTGCATGTGTGTAAATTGAGAAATACCCAAGTCTCAGGGGGTAGATTCCAGAATACCTAAGATCCAATCCTGGAGTTATAGCATCATTGAGTTACAAGCCACAGTTCTTCCTGTCTTTTTGGCCATATTTCTCCCTATAGGAGAGTCTTGAAACTTAAGATTTGTTGTGGTACAGCTTGTTTCCTCCCAATATCTTAGGAATGAAGTTGCCTGCTCATAAATTCCTTTAGGGGAATCTTTATTATTTTCTTTGCAATCCAACAATCTACTTCTACTTCACTTGGATGGCCAAGGAAAATAATTCTGGAATGTGTAGCATCTTGAAGGCATAACAAATAGTTGAGCTGATCTGTGCTGACCTAATAAGGTAGTACCAGTGGTACACTTCCATTACACCACCATATTGGATGCCAGCCATAATGGGCATCGGAGGAACTGTTGAAGGATCCTCACATCAGTAGCGAAGGGGACTCAGCAAACATGCAATGCAACATCCAGCTCAATCTTTGCACAGTAAGCACATAGGATTTGGAATCACACATTGTTTGTAGCCTCAGTTTTTACCTGTGTAAAATGGAGATACTTATTAGGGTTGCTGTGAGGAGCAAGTAGAAGACTTGGGGACACTTACTTAGTACAAAATTAAGCATATGATAAGAATTTAAAGGAGATTTTAAGTTCTTTGGCAGCCATCTAAAGACTATGCAGGCTCCGAAACATTTGTTTCCATCCTAGGAGGTAGTCAAAAGAACTGAGGCAGAAACATCCCATCTATGTTTCTAGCGTTTAAACCATGCAATCTTTTAAGCCGCCTTAACTATGCAAGATGCTATCACTCCTTAAATATCAGACTTAGCTCTCTTTAGACAGGTGTAGAGGAGAACACTTGGGTCAGCATCTAACACATTACATTCATCATAGATAAAGGTACCTGTGACTTTCTCTGGTAAAGTCACTTACCGGTTCCTGTGTGTGACAGTAAATACAGACCTAGCATTGATGTGATATTCAGTAGCGACATCTGCCCTGCACATATTAGATGCCAGACACTGTGCTGAGCTTTTCGTGTGCATCTCACTTAACACTTACCTTGTCACAGTGAGACAGTCCCCATCATCTCTACTTTACAGGCGGAATTAGTAACTTGCCCAACGTACCACACACAAGACACAGAAGTCTATGCTGTTAACTACATTGCCTGCTGCTTCTAAACAGAACCACCTTGCCACACATCTGACTTTTTCCTTAAGCGTAGTGAAGAAAAAAGCCATTTTTGATATGCCGTGAGGTAACCTGCAGAGCACAAACTCCCCACCCGCAGCTGGTCTCACTCCTGTCTCAGTGTTTTGACACTGAGATTTTTATGGTGAGATTTACAGGAGAACACTGGGTTATGGTCCTACTTTGTTCTTTTTCTCAGATTAGCCAGGCTCAAAAATGTGAAACAGACTCAGGAGACATGATAGAGAGAAGGAACCCCACTGTTATCAGTTCGTTAGTAGCTTATTTATCTATGGATCCCTAAGTTTCATATCTAGAGCCTCACTGGCAAAATGCATTCAGCTTTCATGTGTGAAGGTAGATATGAAAGGGATATGCAAAGACGCCTGATAACCTTCACATGTAACTGTTTTGAGCTAAAAATCCTCCAGGCTGGATTAGAGAGAAATAAGTTCGAAAAATGCTATTGTTCCATCTTCAAATTCATTCCCTCCGTATTTGGAAATAAGTACCTTTGATGATTTTTCTACTTTTATATATTTCTGAACTCTTATAGTTTAGGTCCATGATATGGCTGAAGCATGAATGTACAATTTTTAGTTGTCCCAAAGAAAATCATACTTGTTAGGATATTTACTCGAGTAGTTTTATAATGTTACAATTCTGGAAGAGAAGAAAAGTCATTATAAGTCCCTTCTGGCCTTAGAGAATACATAATACCAAAAATACCTAAAAATCTTTTATTTCAGAAAGTGAAATCGCTTGATGTGCCCTCCCACTCTGGTTAGATGCTTAACAGACCACAGCAGACAGTGCACCTCAGGGCTAAGTGTGCAAGAAAACTGAAGTACACAAAAAGCAAATTATAGGCTCAGGTACTGTGAGGCATAAAACAAGAATCAATCCATCAATCCGTGAAATCACTTGATGTGCCCTCCCACTCTGGTGAGATGCTTAACAGACCACAGCAGACAATGCACCTCAACCAGGGCTAAGTGTGCACACTTGGCCAGCAGCCACCAACAGAACGTGCAGCAGCAGCAGTTAGCGCTGACACAACTATCACTGCTATTGCCACCATCTCCCCACTAACAGGGCTTGCAGAATGTATAATACCACAGGGGATGATATATATGTGGTTTTTAGGCACCGCCTCATTACCCACAAGAAGGGAAGCTTCTTTCTACTCTTTCACTAGTTGCTACTCCTACTTGTTAGGAGTTTGATGTATCAGACCCTTTTGAGAAATGTCTATGTCACAACTACATTCAGGATAAAACAATTATGAAACTGAAGGGCTCAGATTTGGGGATCAAGATTAGCAGGTGGTACTCATTGAACTTGAACTTAAATTAGCAAAAGTATATCTGGTTTTTGCAAGTTTTTGCCACCATTGAAAGCAAAATGTATAGCTTTCATTTGGATTCAAAATAATAAATTGTTTTACTAGGGTAAGATTTCACTAGTAAGAATTCTAGGAAATTATTCCAATTAGATTACATAATAGAGTTAAGTGACCCCTAGAATCTTTAGGTTTGGGGTAGAGATTCTTGAAAGGTAGACTTTAAGTTGGTCTCCCATTTCAACAGTGTTCTTAACTGAAGAATTAGTCTTTTAATATCCTATAGTTTGCTATTTAAAGCTTGGCTTCTCATTTTTGCGAAGGGCTATTTGACTTCCACAGATATAAGGTACAGAAGCAAATGCCAAAGTGCAAGTCTCAATTTTTTTTTTTTTTTTTTTTTTTGCCTCGTATTCATCAAGAACTAGAGAGGCAGGGATACCTAGGCTTTAAAACACCTACTAGAATGTTTCAAGGGAACTAGTTGAACAACTGGGACTAATTTTGCCAAATAGATAGCTTGCAAAGGGCACTTAAAAATTTGGACAGAGGAACTTGGCTGGATTTCTTTAGCAGAGGCCACAAATCTGTTTATTCACCTATCATCAATCTTTGTGGCAATTCCTAAAATTTCTGGAGAGTCCACTTTCACTTTGTGTGACAGGCTCATCTAACTCCAAACATTCTCCTTTAGTGTGTGGTAAGCTTCATATTTTACCTCTTAATTATCTTCTACATTAAACTCTAGAGACACAGGAAACTTACCCTAACACATTTCACATAGAATTCAGGTTCTTGTTTGGGTGATAAAGCCAAGGCCTCTTATCATTCATGCACTAGTATTACAAGTTGTATTGACTAGTAGTTTAGTCATATAACTATTTTTTATTTTTATAAATTTTTTTTGTAGAGACAGGGTCTCACCATGTTGCTCAGGCTGGTCTCGAACTCCTGGCCTCAAGTGATCCTCCTACCTTGGCCTTCCAAAGTGCTGGGATTAGAGGCGTGAGCCACCATACCTGGACCCCCAGTATATTTATTCTTATTTCAATAGGAATATCTAGTTACTTTGTTTCTACAAATGAGTTTGTACCTCTTAGGTACAATGAGTTGTACCTTGGCTTCTTATTGGGGAGGACATGGTAAAAAAAAAAAAAAAAAAAGAGATGTTTTAGACTCTTTGAGGGTTGGAAATTTGTACCCAGAACATGAAAGAACATACTAGGGACAGGAATTCAAAAGATGATGATGATAGAGAATAATACTTTATTTGCCAAAACAAACTTTGGGCCTTATAATTAATACTGTATAATCGTTATAATGGGGAAAGCAATAGTATCAAACTTCAAGCTTCTAAAGGGAATTTGGTATTACTCCAGTTAAAAAAAAAAAAAAAAAAAATCCATGTTTTTTTGTACCATAGCAGGGTCAGAGCAGCATTCAAACACTGAAATGGCTTTCAGAGTTCATGTTGAATGCTAACCTACTTACCAAATAGGCACTTCAGCTACTCACTATCAGCAGGCCACATCCTGTTCAGTGTGATGACTAAATGTACAGTAAGGAAAAGGTGGAGAGCAGACAGTTCTATATTCATGACTACAGCCTTTTCCTTCTACATGCTTGACCTCCAAACCTCCCATGAAAAAAAGGTCCAAGGCTATCTTTTTCATTCAGTTGACCAAAATCACAAGGGGGCATCCCTTAAGATAACAGAACCAACTTCCCCTTCATCTAGTAATATTAATTTCCTTGCTTAAGCCACAAACAAGATGTTAACTGCCTTATATTTCATATGCAAGTGAAAATATGAGTCATCCACTGATTCATGTAGCGACTTAAAACATCTTCTCTTCATCTTCTTCCTACAGTGTTGGTCGGTCATTTAATTCCAGAGGAATTGCTGTACCTTCCACAGTCAACTCTCCACCTCACTTGCGACACACAGCATCCACCCAATGCTTCCAGTCTTGTGTCTTTCCTTGCTTCCAGACATCCTGAGACTTTGGAGAAAGTAAGTAATGGCCAACCTGATGGAAAAATTCACTAAACTCCCTGTGCAACTTTTTCTTTGTCTCAAACTCTTCATCTGCTCTTCATACTGTAAGTTCCAGAAATTGTCCATAATAAGAATCTGCCCTATCCCAGCCAGGATAAAAATTTAGGTGATATCATAATTATATTATTCATGAAGTCACATTAAAACAGTGGTTTTTAAGCTTTAGTTTACATCAGTATTGCCTGAAGGGCTTATGAAAACAGGTTTCAGCCCTAGCCTGCAGGGTTTCTGATTCAGTAGGTCTGGGATGGGGCTGAGAACTTGCATTTCCAACACATTCCCAGGTGATGCAGATGCTTCTGTTCCCGGGACCACACTGAGAACCCTGCCTTCGATTGTTCAAGAATGCCATTGCTTGCTATCCTCCCTGGCCATCTTCACAGTAAGACAGTCTAGAATTTTACAAGAAGAAAGCCCTTATCCATGCCTTAGAAGGCACTTGTCCTTGACCTAAATAAATGACAGAACATGGAAAACAGACTTAACTATAAAGAAGCAGAATTCATAGAAATCTTAGCATGTGTTTCTCGATCAGGAAACAAGTTAATGGAAAAGAAACTCCTCTAACCAAAAGGAATTCTAGGTACAGACTAAGCTTCTTTTACACAGTAAGAAATATTTTGGGAGCAAATGTTAAACAGTACTTCATTTTTTAGCTGTACTTGGGTGTAAGAGAAACTAGTCCAATTACAGGCTTAGTTATACAACATCAAGAATTATAGCTCACACAGAACACTTGATACTACTCAGGCTAGGATTTCATCCTAGAGGAACAGGCACAAACCATGGTTAAGCTGCTTGGTTTAATTTTTTAGCACTTGAAAAAAAATGTACAGTAGTTTGAATACTCAGTCTTTGCAAACCTCCATTGAGGTCAAAGATTTCATTCATACGTACAAAATTAGTTTACAAATTTTTTTTGGCAATTTCATCTTAGTAACCCGTTTTATCCTATTGCCATTGTCCCAACCATTGAAAAAGTTTACAATAATTTACATAGAAATATTTTCAAAGTGCTTAAGAATAGTGATTGTTTTCTGGGATATTTACAGATGGCCTATACAACGTATGTACAGGTGGTATACACTATAGCACAAGTTTCATTGCTGGAATATGGCTTTCTAGGGAAAGTGCATATTTGGCCAGAGGTGGCAATACTGTCTAGAAATTCAAGGGTTACAGATACTTAGTAACCACATCCAAAGCTGAAGTAGAATGTGGACAAGAATATTTACAAAAGTAATATAAAAACGGTCAAGTACACAAGCTTGATCCACACAAAGGTATCTTGATGTTCTTCCAGCCGAGAGGAAGAAAGAGACTTCAGCTGCTGGCTCGGTTACCGTTCCAACGGGGGTATTATTTGTTTAGACCTCAAAGGTCAAGACTTGTCACAGAAGTCAAGCTAGATCATCATCTGTGCTTACAACTGATATCTGTGGAAAAGAAGAAGTATGGAATGAGCTTGGTGATCACTCACTGATGGCAACTCTCGTCTTTAAAATGGACCCTGCTTTTTAGTTGGTCATTCGAACACTCAGAGTGCTCAGAAGAAAAGTCAGATACAAAAGAGTACTGAGTTGTATCATTCAAGCATTTAATTTGAATTCAACTATACCTGCTTGGTAGTGAGATAAGATAGTGTGACTGATTCTGCCTCTAACTCTTGGAGAAAAATGTGAAAAGTCATATGTGTATCAAGAATTGACCACTGTTCCATGTTTCACCAGAGCTTGAGAGGGGAGCAATCAATATTTGTTTTTTTCAGCCTGTTTCCTACGTGAAGGCCAACTACTCCACTTGGGTTTCATCTGAAGAACAAGTGAATGACTACTGCTAGAAGAAAAGCTAGCTATACTAAGTGTGGTGGGATACTTTTTAAAGCAAAGCGTATCATAATTTTGGCTAAGTGAATCTTACTCAATACACTGACTTTAAGCCAACTCCCCTATATATGATATGCTAATTTACTTTCAAATATCTAGTAGGCAATGGATTTAATAGTTCAGTAAAGAGCTACTTGGTTCATGCTAATATTTACATGTCATTTCTATAACCAAAAATATCTTAATATAGTGGTGACCTTAAAGTTGACCCTCTTGCCATTTGGTGAAGGTTAGATGCTGATCAACTGACTGACTTATGTTCTAACAGGCTACACTGTCTAATATCCAGGTAGCAGATGAAGTATTTGGTAACTCCATCATCCTAATGGCTCTCTTTCCAGCCTAGGTCTCCTTTCTGAAAAGTCTTACTTCAAGCCATGGTATATAAAGACACAAAGCTGACTTACTGCTGGGTATGTGTGTCCAACAGAAGCACTGTGTCTACCAATGTCTATGGAGAGGTCCTCTTCAGTGGTTTTCAAGTACACAGGATTGTCAAAGTTCATGCTTTTCATGTTCTTGTGTTGCCAATTCCGCCACATCAAGTAGCCACCTACTGCTGCCATCACTAAGAGCACTGAAAAAAATTAGAGGGTAGCTAAGTGAGCTAAGTCTAGTATTGGAACATACAAGAAAGGTAATAATGTTCAGGAATCCATAATAATTGACATTAGTAAAAATGTCATGTTTTATGGAGCTAGGATAACTAGAAGTTGGAATAAACATGGGCCAGGAGCTTGAAACAAGTTCAGCCCAGAGGTAGTTCTATGCACTGGAGCTGGGCTAGCCACATCCATCCAGGCAAGGGCAGGGTCCTTGGTCCCACCTTAGGCTCACCAAATTAAAATTGCGGAAGGTTCTGGAGAGCTATTCAGGTGTTCCTGGTGTGTTAGCTAAGCTTGGAATCTATTAATTTAGGACAAAAGCTTTTATAGCAAAGTCCTTATAATTCGCATGTCTCATAATAGGTTTTAGAGGTCCATTTTCCATAGGTTTGAAAATTCTTAACTGCTTTTAATTTACCCTCAACAAGTCCTGTAACTCTTCAAGAAAGCATTTAAGCATTTGTGCATCTCCTGTATAAAGCATTACACGCATTTCAAAGGGGGAACAGAAGAGCAGTTAAAGAGACTTATAAGGGGATAAGCCAGCCTAACAGTGTTGAAGTGGAAAGCATTAACTGTTGAACATTTATCATGCCAGTTACTGTGCCAAGGGCACAATTGAAGAGAAAGATATGGGCCTTAATTTAGTGTACTATGTGGGGGAGAAAGTGAATATAATTCAGTGTCATAAGTGCTATGACAGCATAAAGGGCCATGAAAGGGGTAGCTCCAGATGAACAAAAATTTTCATTTGGTATCTAAGAAGTTCTTGAACCCAGACTTGTAGGAAATCTACTTACAGAGAGGAAGAATGGCCCATGCAGCAGAAGTCCCTTTTGGGGGAACACTGACCTCTGATACTGCTGTGGTCACATTGATCCCTACAGAGGAATAAAAGGAATCAGTTCAGAAGGGTCTGTATTAAGATTTAGAGATTTACCCATCAGGTAAGGAGCCAAAACCTATGCATCCAACATTGATGTTCAGTATCTACTACAATTGAACACCAGGAACAACTCTGGCCTAGAAGTGTCTGAGTCACACGCTGTAGTAGCCATTTCACTGACAGTTCTCTACTAGAAACCTTAAAGATCAGTCAGGAAAAGATATGCACATTTTAAGTCTTTGGTGTTTAAATATAGGTTACCAATTGGGGCAGAAATAGTAGTTAAAGGTTGCATTAATTATTTAAGCTATAGATACAAAGAGTGTGGCTGTTAGTGGAGATTAACAGTTTGCAGTACTGAACTCGATACCTCCAGGAACTAGTCCACTAGTTGGTGAAATTTCTGTTGTGTTCGTATCTTTTGTTTCACTGTAAGTCACAGTAGTTGCAGTACCTGAATTATAAAAACCAAGAACCTGGTTAATGCCAAGGTTCCAGAATGGCTAGCTCTTTTGTCCAGACAAGCCATGCAAAAGGTTATTTTAAAACCAGGTAAAATAGACAAACCACTGCTGAATTAAGTGTACAGCTGATGTGTCAAAATTGAAATAGCAATCTTCATGCAAAAAGAGATACATGAAACTTTGGGAAGAACAGTCGGTGTTTAGAATTCGACAATTCAAAATGATGGACAACCATATTTTATCCCTCTAAACAATATCCCACGTTCCTGGAAATTACAAGAAATGTTTTCAAGATGCTCTGGTATACCAGGCATACCAGACTGACTTGCAACTAATTTCTTGGTAAACTGAGCTAATCCCTGCCGTGACCTGACCATGAATCACGCTAATAAAAACCTCACCAGCCTCACCATATGAGCTTCCTTGGCCACACAAACGAGTTTAATTTGCCACTTAATCAAAAGCTAAGAACAGAAGACTAAATGCAAATTCAGCTTAAGTGTTATTTTAGGGAAGCGTCACCCACTGAGGCAATGAGGTTTCTGTAACCGTGGCCTTCTTAAGCATAGTTTCTGTCCTCCTCCTCTTGAGGAAAAATGTTAAGGCCTCATTTAATTACCTGCAAGTTGGCTAGCTCGGTGCTGTTAAGGGAGTAATTGGTACAAATTAGTGTAAGGTATGTTGACACTTTAGTCTCCTATAAACTCATTTAATGTTGAAATGGGTTAAATCAGTTCTAAAGAAATGACATGATAACCCGGCATACAACAATAGCAGATATCTTCTCAAATCTATTCAAAGAATTAGCTAAAACAGAATTCTTAACAATCCAAGCTTGTGTCTTATATTGCTTGTTGTATGTTCTACTTGTAGTTGAAACACAAAATGCCTTACTTTGGCAGTCTCGGCCATTTTCCTCTAGATTGAACCCATTGGGGCAGGAACAGGTATATTTTGGAGAGTGATCATTAATCTGTGGTGCTGGCAGGCATAAGTATTCACATCCTCCATTCTCCATGTCTTCTTCACACCAGTTTTTACCTAGTCAGGAAAAAAATACCATTAAAATGGGTATTCCAATGCCTAGAATATATAAAGCCTTGTTCTACATCTTGAAGACCTGAGTCCTTGCCCCCAAGAGCTTAGACTTGTTGACTCTGGCAATCCTTCAAGTGAGAGCAATATCAAGGAAGAATAAGTATAAAGGTACAGGCAGCATGCTCTAAGGACACCAGATAAGGGACCTCTTAGAGACAGACTATAAAAGTTATGTCTTTAAGAGATAGATTTCAAAAGAGGAGGTGGGGAAGGGAGGTGAGGGACCAGGACTGGCTCTCACTATTGGCCCAAGGTTTAGTGTGAAGGCTCAGAGAAAGGAGACTAGGTATGTTCTCCTGGTTTTCTCTTGACTTGCTCCAACAAAGTGGAAGGAAACTCAGCCTTAGGAAGGTTTGAAGGTTTTATTTAGATAGAACCAGCCAAGTGTTTTCAGCAGGACATAATATAACCTGATGTGTTTGAGAATCTACACAATCCTATATCAGGTGTGTCACAGGGAGAAAGTAGGTGTTACAAGTTGAATTGTGTTCCTCCCTAAAATTCATATATTGAAGTCCTAGTACCTCAGAATGTGATCGGATTTGGAGATACTGAAGATAGGATATTTACAGAGGTAATCAAGTTAAAATGAGGTCATTAAGGTGGGCTCTAATTCAATATGACTGGTATTACAGTTCATGCCTTTAATTCTAGCACTTTGGGAGGCCAAGGCAGGCAGATTACTTAGGGTCAGGAGTTTGAGACCAGTCTGGCCAACATAGTGAACGTAGTGAAACCCCATCTCTACTAAAAATACAAAATGTAGCTGGGCATGGTGGCTCACTCCTGTAGTCCCAGCAACTCGGGAGGCTGAAGCAAGAGAATTGCTTGAACACAGGAGGTGGAGGTTGCAGTGAGCTGAGATTGTGCCACTGCACTCCAGCCTGGGCGACAGAGCGAGACTCCGTCTCAAAAAAAAAAAAAGAAAAAAGAAACCTGGACAAAAGCATATACAGAGGGAAGATGATGTGAAAAGACACAGGTGGAGGCACTGTCAACAGACCACAAAAAGAGGCCCCGAACAGACCCTTCCCCTCACAGCCCTCAAGAGGCACCAACCTTGCTGGCACCTTGATTTCAGACTTCTGGCCTCCAGAATTTTGAGACAATAAACTTCTGTGGTTTAAGGCAGTTTGTGGCACTTCATTGCAAAAATCCTAGCAAACTAACAATAAAGGAAGTTTGTAGCACCAAAGCTACTTTGGAGGCTACTGCAATAGTCTTGGCAAGAGGGGCTGAAGGCCAAGGGACATGGATGAAGCAGAAATAAAAGATCTGACACTGAGGCTTGGGAGGGAAGCTAGGAGCTGAAGCTGAGAAGCCATTTCTCTAAGGCAGCAGAAATAAAAAAATAACGTGTGAAATGTTTGAGGTAGGGTACCGGAGGGCAAATATTCCTTTTAAAGAAAGGTGAGTTGCCAAGAGCTACTGACATCCAGCAGGTTCTGTGTCATGCTGCTTCCCTTAAAGTGGTTATTAAGGACTGTGCTTCTCCACGGTACCTGATGGCTGTACAAGTTCATGATAGACAATGATGTCTTGGGCATCATTAAGGTTGTTGACTAGAGTGGCTAGCTCTGATCCAGTGAATTTATTGGCACCATAGACTGCTTCGTTTTCCCCATCTATCCAGTAGACATGATCCTACAACAGAACCCCACAATTAGCATGCACATCCAGGATTAATACAAGTCCATTTCTAAGGCCATCATCATTTACTTCTCATTTAATGGACTAAGTTTATTGAATGCTGAGCTGGGACACTAGATATAAAACTGTAAAAGAATCAAGTTTAGGTTTGAAGTGCTTCTGGAATTAGTGTCTAATTTGTACCAGGTTTTAAGTGAATGCAGTTTCTCAAGCCATGCTCAGCTGTTCTTCCCTCCTCCCACCATGTCTGTTATTTCTCCTCAAAGTGATATAGTAGCTGAAAGGTATACACACTTTAATGTGAGACACATCTTACCTCAAATATTGTTAGTGCAAGAGGGTGAGCTAGGAACTCCAGAGACTTTAGTACTATCCTACGATCTTGGCCATTCAAGTCCACGCTGGATAACATGTGCAACTTAGAATCAAGCCAATAGAGGCGGCTTTTTATAAGGTCTAGGTAGGAAAAGAATTGTCATTACATGACAAGCCACTACTACTCTGGCTTCCATTTAAAACATCTAATGAATTAAGATTCTACTTTTATGTTTCATTTCCCCAACAGGGTTTCTTAACAGGGGTCACACAAACCTGGTAAAGCAGCATGCAGAATCTGTATCCACATTCATTTTTGGGGACTAATGGGGTACCTGAGATTCTCAAAGTAAATGACTTAAGAAATCTTACTCACATTACAGAAAATATTAAAAGAGGCTGGAATTTTGTTGTTCTCCTCCAAAAAGCCAGAAGAAAACTGTTAAAAGCCTGCAATTCAGGAAATGCTAAGGCATTCATGCCCAGAATATTTAGTATGAGTGCACCCAAGACCTAACCTTCACTGAGTTCATGTCACATATTAGGCCCAGGTGGACAACAGGTCAGTAGTTATGGAATGTGTAATTTGCTAATCCACCATTTTACTTGTGTTGTTCAGTTACTCCCATTGAAAATTCCTGCTAGAACTTAGGCGGAAGCAGAAGAGTCATCTGCTAGTCCAGAATTCACCATGGAGATAAATGGAAACACTATGAAGATAGTTGAGTGGGTGGTCGAGAAGGAAGAACATACATACCAAGTGTAATTCCGTTAGGCCACTGGATATCCACTGTCACCAGTGGACGTCTATCAAATCCATTCATTCCTGCTTTTTCTATTTTAGCTGGTTCACCCCAGTCTGACCAGTAAACAAAGCTGTGAAGAATTAAATGAGAAATAAGCCTCAGTGGTTTAGAAGGAGTAAAGTTGTAGCTTGAAACAATTTAAAATTTGAGCAGAAAACTCAAGGGATTCTCTAGTGACAAATAGTAACACTTAAGGGTCTAAATTTTGTTCTAGGTAAATAAAATTGAATATTAAGAATCTGCAAGTTCATTATTAACTGTAATAATCTATGTTTGTCTGACATTTAAATTTCGGCCCAAAGTCACAAGGTTATGTTTCCTTTTTAAAAGGTCACTTCTTTCAGAGGAGTGAAAGACAAATATCCTTTAAATTTCATAGCAGGGGTTGGCTGATTGAGTTCTAATGAGGCTGCAGGGGAGCCAGTTGTGATAACTACAACCTTAGTCAATTTCCTAAGCTGCTCTTCTATGTTACTTAGTGGTAATTTAGGGAACCCCCTTAGTGAAATGTTTCTATAACACTTAGATGCAATGTCGTTACCCAAATCCCCACAATTCAGGCTGTCATTTAGGTTTGATCATCCAGAGCTAGCCCAGCAAAGTGTTCTGTCAAAAACTAAAAAATCACTTGCGTAGAAACTGGGTGGGCAAAAGGGTTCAGATACAGCTTTTGGTACACACATCAAATCAGGAATGTTAATTCATTAACATCAACCAGCAATCAGTCATACGAGTCAGACAGGAGGACCTGTCATACAGATAAGGCCATCCTAGGGTCATTCAACTGGGGCAAAACTGATATCTTGAATTAGAATTCTAATTCTTTGTTGTAGAGGGCTGATAAACCTTGAGATTTTAGTACTAATTCAGGTATGAGAAAGCTCCTGACCTACACAGATACCATTCAAAAAGCTATGTGATAGAAAAGGGTGTACAAACCCAGACAGTGGGTCCACAGCTATGGAGGCAGGCTCTCGCAAATCAGAGTTAAACAGGAACTTCCTCTTGGTTCCATCTAGGGTAGCTACTGAAATAGTCTTAGAAGCCGCATCAGTCCAGTAGATGGTCTTGTACACCCAATCAACAGCAATGGCTGCAGGATTATAGACATTGTCGATCATTTTAACATGTCTACCAACCTTGTCATCAATTGAGGCACTGAAACAGAATAGGTCACAAGAAATTTAAGAGTTTGACACAATTAGAGCTTGGAGAATGGACTTTTTGCTTACAAAATGGTCAATGACTTCATTCAGAAAGAAATCAACACCACAGCTCACCACTCAAATTATTTAACCATGCTGCTTACTGATGCTAAATTAATAATGCTGTGGATTATCTAGTTGCTGGTATGTATTCTATATACAAGAACAACAAATTTATAAGTGAAGCTATTTGTTTCAGTATCCATCATCTGAGTTTCTATAGTTCCCATTAAGAAACGGCTGTACTACCATTTCTATTTGTAGCAACAATGAACAGTTCTCAATTAACTGTAGAGAAAAGGGAGAAAATATAAAAAATATGAAAGATGTCATCTTTTACTTCATAGACAATTATTAGTTTCTAATTAGGAAATGATAACAATTTAATAAAGAATTAGTGTTAGATTTAATGTCCCCAGGTAATTAGATGCTAGATGGGGCTAGACACAAAATGAAACTCCTCCAAACTATCCCACAGATCACTTCCCAAGTGACAATGACTTATGTCAAGACACCACAAATGGAACTGAAAGTTACCTGAAGATAGCCTTTTGGCTTAGATCAGCCCAGAATAGTTTCTGAGCAGCAATGTCAGCATCAAGAGCCACAGTGTTTCTTAGCTGTTCAACTAGTTGGATATATTCTTTCCTCTCTAAGCCAATCTTCCTGATGTCTCTTCGATTAGTGAAGATCAGACTTGGCTCTTTGCCTGCAAGATGAAAGTCAGGGTTACTTAGTTTTGCTTTAAGAAGGCAAGGTCTTTCTAAACCACCTCCTCCCAGCAGAGATCTTAGAAAGTAAAGGTATTGTGGAATATGTCAGTAGTATCTGTTCTGGAGTTCCTGCCCCCGGGACCTGCAAGTGCTTCCTATGGTTTAGGAAGGCAGTCCTGGGGTTACAACCTTCAACAACAGGGTGGGTGATGAATAAGTCACTTATTTGAGTTGCACTCAAGTTTTGGAAACAGAGAGCATGCAAACCTGGTAGGTATTCATGGTATCATACGCAAAAGGAATGACCAAGGTAGATGTCTGGGGGAGAGATCTGCTATTTAACCGATACTGCTGTATTATGAGGCTAGCAACATTGTTCTCAAGTATGATTTCATGTTTAGTTTGACAATTGTGGTCACTGGCTGTACCTTTTAGAGGGACTTGTAAAGGTACAATAGCTACAGCAGTCCAAGTTCATTTACCTACTGCCTTGCACACGCCAGTGGCAAGATCCATTTGATAGCCACGACTACATTCACACTTGTAACCGCCTTTTAAGTTGATACAAATTTGACTGCAGATTCCTGGATTTTGGCATTCATCAATATCTAGGAGGGAAATCAGAATTAGTCTTGCTGCTCCTATACCTTACTAGGTACATACTACCCGTTCCCATCACCCGCAGGGTCTAGGTTTTCTTCTTAGACTCACCTCCACAGGTTTTCCTATCTATCAGTTCAAACCCAGCTGCACAGTCACACTCGTAGCCTATAACTAGGTCTTTGCAGATATGGGAACATCCGCCATTATTTACCAAGCATTCGTTTATATCTGGAATAAAAATGTAGCAGTCACTTGACAACTTATTTTCAATTAATACCTGTCTTTCACATTTAAAACCCAAGCTATTTGGCAACTTATCTAGTTGGCCTGGTCAAACCCATGATTTGTCTAAGACCTAATCATTTATTTTATAGGTATATATTTCAGGGTGGATTATCTATCTCCTTGGCAAGTTACCAGTTGGTCAAGCAGCATTTAGTCAAATTTCTCTATTGATGATCAGTTATCTTTAAGGAGGTTAAACTATAAACTAGTTTGGGCTAGGCACGGTGGCTCATGCCTGTAATCCCAGCACTTTGGAAGGCTGAGGCAGGTGGATCACGAGGTCAGGAGTTTGAGACCAGCCTAGCCAACACGGGGAAACCTTGTCTTTACTAAAAATACAAAAAAAAAAAAAAAAAAAAAACCAGGCATGGTGGCGGGCGCCTATAGTCCCAGCTACTCAGGAGGCTGAGGCAGGATAATTGTTTGAACCTGGGAGGCAGAAGTTGCAGTGAGCCGAGACTGTGTCAATGCACTCCAGCCTGGGCAACAAGAGTGGAACTCCGTCTCAAAAAACACAAAAAACAAACACTATAGTTTGTCCTACCTGGGTTTTTAAGTCATAAAGTTTCACTCTGAAGTCTACAATTGAACTTCAGTATATTCAAAAGTTTAAGCGGCCATCACATGGGGTCTACAGTGTTAGCTATGCTGGATTGTATCAAACTTCCAGGGTTTGTACTTGAGCAACAAGTACACTTACGACATTCTTTCAGGGGCTCATCACTCCAGTCCCTGCAGTCCTGCTCCTGGTTACATACTTTGCTGATATCTATGCATTCTCCACTTCTGCATTTGAATTTTCCAGGGCCCAAGCACTGATTGACTACAAAGAGAAACAAAGAAGAGAGATTCCATGAGTGGGTCTGGTCAGAGCAATCCATTGCTTAACCAACAAGAAGAAACCCTTACCATTTTTGCAGTTGACTTCATCGGAACCATCGATACAGTCTCGGATGCCATTACACTGCCTGCTGCCATGGATGCAGCTGCCATCCTCACACTCAAATTGGTCAGGTCGGCAAGTTCGAGAGGCTACAAAGGGAGGTAACACCATGGAATGAAGCTAGCAAATTGTCCCAGTTGATACACGGAAGAGAACTGAACATGCCATGCTAGAAAGCTACTTACGACAGTTGACCTCATCACTGCCGTCCTTGCAGTCAGGGTCCCCGTCACATCGCCACTTCTTATGGATGCACTCGCCAGAGCCGCACTGGATTTCGCTGGCTGGACACTTGGTGTGTATAACTGGCTGGCGGCCACACTGCTCCAGGGACTCATCAGATTGGTCGGAGCAGTCTGCATCATCATCACATACCCAGCTGATGGGGATGCAGGAGGAGGTGCTGCACTGGAACTCATGGACGCCACAGGTTGGCGGGGCACAGTCCAGCTCATCACTGCCATCGCTGCAGTCATCCTGGCCATTGCATACAAAGTTCCTGGAGATGCAGCGGCCACTGGAGCAGGTGAACTCACTGGGGCTACATGTTATATTGCCTATTAAGAGAGAGGATGCCCCATTGAAAGTGCATCAAGATAGGTCCTTTCAAGATTCTTGTCCCAAAATCTAATACATTGATCTTTATTCATTAATCCTAACTTACTAGCCCAACTTAAAGGCTACAACGGAGTTAAATCAAGAACACAGTCTCACTGTACAAAAAATGAAGGCACACTGTAAATAAGAAGAACAGAAATAAAGGACCAAGAAAATAGCTGAATACTGGAAATTAATTTGAGATGAGAACCACAATTGACTCTGAAAGTGGCTGTGATAAATAACAAACTGAAACAAGGGATTTCAATTTGGAAGGCAGAGATTGAGTTGTCCTTGAATCAACATACAGCTTGTCAGATCTCATCACTAGTTGAGAATATCATGCAACGTAATACAACAAGCATTAAGACACTGTCACCAAAAAGAGGTGAACCACATACTACCATACATGGTTCCTCTTTTCGGTCCTTTAAATAAGGATCAGGAATAACAAGTCTTAAACACTTTCCATTTTGAAAAAGTCACTGCCAGGGCTGTAATCACCATTTAACAATCAGGTATGCTGACAATGATAAGCTAGTCCTACTAGCCAATTGGTACTTTGACTTAAATTCCTGCCAAACATTTCAAGGTCACAATTTGGTGGCAATTAGAATAGAGACCACGACTCTCTTGGGAAGCAAAGTCTAGATTTATAAGGGAAACACTTGGCAGCACAAGGCTTACCAATACAGAAAACTCAGTTCTAGGATTGAACACTAAAACTCATTGGACTAGGTGCAATGGTATTGACCTCAGGAGGTGACTTCTATACACAAGACTGGTGTTTCAACTGTAAGTACCCTGAGCTCCCTTGACTACTACCATATCAGGAGACCCATGCTTGTCAGACCTGGGTAGGTTTTAGAGGCCCTATAAAAAGGGCGGTAGCTTGAAAGAACATTCAAAGCACTGTTTGTTCAACCTAGCGATTTTCCCAGGACTTCACCTTCAACATGCAGCATTTTATTAAAGATTTTCCAAGACCAGAAACATGAAAGAATAGGAAACAGAGTTAGCTTTCAGAGACAGGAACTGCAACAGGAGACAAAGGTATCACCAGTTGGGTAGACTTTTCTTTGGGTATCTGAGGCAAGATGTTAATTCATGCTTCTGTGTCTTTTTTCTTTTCCCCCAAAAAAGTTATGCCAGAATCTAGTTTAGGGGCAAAGAAATATTTGTATAATACTCAAATAATTTGTTCCAATAACCCAATCAAGTTTAGACCTACGAATGTGTTTGCCAACCCTACTCACCTAATTTTATTGTGCCAAAGTGCAAAAGGCACATGAATTACTGTCACAACAGAGACAAAAGTCCACACAATTGCTGCTTCCCTGAGCTACTGCTACATACAAGTGCCTTGAATGACTTACCTTCTTATTTCTATTTGCCTAAAAGAAACACCAAGCAATGGCCAATTACCACGTGAATGTCTTTTAGGGTTTTAGGGCAGTTATGAAGGACGAGTAATTGAGCAGATAGTGAAGTCACTGAAAAGTGAGTCAATGTCAGTGCCTCTTCATGCTTAGGTTAGTTTCCCCTGCCCACCCTTCCTTTAGGAAAAGGGTCTTTGGGTTACGTCACTCAACACTGATCTTCTTACCACAGTTTTCTTCATCTTCTCCACTGTCACAATCATTTTCACCATCACATCTCCAGGACACTGGGATACACTGAGTAGAATGGGCGCCACAGCTGATTTCATTTATGCGGCATGTTCTCATATCTGTTGATGATATACAGTCTCAAAAGAGCCTCAAAACTGATCAATGCAAAGCTGATGCTCCTGTGCTGCCTGGAAGCGCTAATACCTGTGACTCAGTAGCCTGGCAACTGGTGAAATTCTAACTGGCTGAAGCCTGGGGAGCTCTTTCATCAGCTCCATTCCTTAGAAGCTGTGCCAACCTATGCTACCTGACAGCGTACCTGACAGCCTTGACCACGTCACTCCTTCAAGGTCCCATGGCGTGCTCAGTTCTGGCTTTTGTTTTACTTGGCATGGTGAAGTTTACTAGCTGGGCTGCTCCTAGACCACTATTTATCTGTTGGATATCAAGTGGACAGACCCAGATATTGTCATCTAATCTCAAGTGCATGAAAAGTCAGATCGTCAAACACCTAGGAAATCTTCTATTGCCTAGATTCCTTTACAGGCCTCCTTCACAACCTCCTTTAAATTGACATCTTGCAAAGTAGAAGCATGCCCTAATGCTTGACTTGACGAGGTCATTCTCCACTAAAACTTGAGGCTGAATCTTTACACAACCTGTCTTTAGCTCGCAGTCCTTGAACTCACTTGTCTTGACCAATATTACTCCCCTCACTTATCTACAAAATTGAAAGTAACACCCTTATCTTCCTTTCCATTTGATTTTCTTTCATAATCACATTTTAGACCTAAATTTTGTTCATGTTAGTCCTTCTTTAGTGCTTCTACCAGTGCAGGCCTCTACTGACTCAAAATAAACTCTAAGACTTTCTTTGCCTTGACATTCATGTGATCTCAATTTATATGATCCCAAACCATCATTCTTTATGGTCTCATAGACTGTTTCCTAAGGACACAGGTATACACTTGCATACCTATGAAGTTTATCTTATTTAAGAATAAGCTGTAAGATCTCCATTTTAGTAACTTTAGGCTACATGTGTGTCAGAAGTCACTATTCACCCAATTACTAGCTACCTTACCTCTTCAGTAATAGCTTAATAGTATGAGAAGCTGTGCTTCTAAAAGTTTATGCTTGGCCCATAGGGAACCCTCACTTCTTGACTTAGCTTCCAGGACCAGAGTACCATCTGCTCAGAGTCATTATAATCAAACATTTGAAATCTATGCACCTAGTCAAGGAGTTCTTGATTGAATCTGCTGACTTCAGTTTTAAGTATTCAATAGTAAAGCTACCCAAGAGAATGTAAGTCTTGTTGGACCAGGGAGAACATTCTTTAAAGGAGGCTGATAAACTGGTAATGATTTGACTGACTTTGGAGTCAATTGACCTAAACTTTAAGGCGGGCAAAGAAAAATGAATACCAAGTAGTAGATTAAGCAATACTTAGAAATGTGAGACACCAAACAACTTAGGAAAGTTCAAGGCCAAAGCAAGTTACACTCACGGCACTGTTCTGGGCTTTCATCTGAACCATCTTCACAGTCAGGATCTCCATCACACTTCCATCGGCTGGGAACACACTGGCCATTGTTGCACACGAAGTCAGATTCAGCACACGTCTTCTTTACTGCAAACGTTTATTTGAAGGGTTAAAGTTGAAGTCACTTACCCACAGCCCTAGCTTCACATGAGGGCTCATACTGCATTTTAGCATGTTCTGCTCTAAAAAAAGCTGAGTCAATGGGCACTCAATTGCCAATATCCAGGGGGAAACTTCAGAAAAATTATTATTATTATTTTTTTTTCAGAGAAGGAAGATGCTCATTTGAGAGATTTGGAGAAAACTGAAGTCAAGGTCAGATGGAGGTTGCCCATTATCTTACGACTCGGAGATATCTTACATTTAACTTCCTGCCTATTGTATAATGTTGAGATTAAGTAACACTTTCATTTTCTACATGTATTTCTTCCAAGTCATTCAAGTACTTCATACATTTAACAGCTAAACATTCCCTCTTCTGACTGGATCATAGTAGAACTGTTTGCTGGGGACTGAATGTTTGTTTCCACCCAAAATTCATGTATTGAAATCCTAACCCCCAATATGATGTTATTAGGAAGTCGGGCCTCTGGGCGGTAATTAAGTCATGAGGGTAGAGTCCCCATGAATGGGATTAGCACCCTTATAAAAAGAAACCAGAGCACTTGCTTTCTCTCTCTTTGTAATCTACTATGTAAGGACACAGTGAGAAGATGGTCATCTGCAAATCGGAAAGACAGCTCTCACCTGATACCAGATCTGCTGGCACCTTGCTCTTGGACTTCTCAGCCTCCATAACTATGAGAAATAAATTTCTGTTGTTTCAGCCACCCATCTATGGTGTTTTTGTGAGAGCAGTCTGAGCTAAGACACTGTTCAAGGGGCATCCCTTAACAACACATGTGTTTAGTGTGGAGAATGAAGGCCAAACCCCAGTACTGAATATTGTCACCCATACTGGTCTACAGGGGCAAAGGAACTCATCAGATAGAAAGGGGAGAAAACTCAATCAGTGTAACAAGAGATGTTGTATTTAGAATTCAAGGGAGAGATGATTTTAGCCTTTCTAGTCAAGGGGTAGGCTAACATCAATCAGCTAAAAGTCATTGAAGCTGTCAGTGCTAATATCCATAACTGACTGCTAATGTTAAAATAGCCTAAGGAAAGGAATTGATTCTGCTGCTAATTCTTGCTGGGGCAGGTATTTCCCCTATACTTAGGGTTACCATGCAATTTTTTGTCCAAATTGGGACAATCTCAGCAGAAAGGGGACACTGTTAATTAATCCAGAAGATAAGTATAAACCAGGGCTGTCCTAAGCAAATTGGGCAGCTTGATTACCCTAGCCATGAAGGAATCACAGAGTAGGACGAATCTTGATATAAAGTAGCCACACAGGATACCCTAAGCTTATCTTTCTTACATTATATTCTTTCTTGCCTATATGCTTATAACTTCTACCCAAATTTGTATTTTAAAACATTCCTCTATAACATATATTCTGTAAAGATAAATAAGTGAAAAATTCACAATTTGATGAACACTTGAAAGGGACTATTTCCCACATCACTGGCTTAAAGTAAGTAGAACTCTCAGAGTTTAGAGTTTGCCCTTGGACCACTCTGGTTCAGTGTAAGATATTATAAAGGGGAGAGATAGTGATTATAGTTAATTTCTAGAACTCAAGATGGGTTGGCAAATTATGATCTAAAAAGGATTATCTCCTTGAATTACATAACCAAGGAAACAAGACTAGCCATGCTAGCTTTAGATTCATGACTGTTTCTAAAATCACTGAAAAACTCAAACACTAGTGTTAATGAATTAAGTGCTATTCAAGGCCCATGTTCTCCTGAGCATGGAGGAAGAAGTCAGAGGGTCTGCAGGGTTAGTTGCTGTAATTCAACCTGTGATATTCTTTGGAAGTTGCAAAAGAGGGAGTAGTGGAATGGCTGTAAAGAGACTTCACGATTGATTGATTGATTGATTGATTGATTGATTGATTGATTTTGAGACAGAGTCTCGCTCTGTCACCCAGGCTGGAGTGCAGTGGTGTGATCTCGGCTCACTGCAAGCTCTGCCTCCCTGCGGAGGCCATTCTCCTGCCTCAGCCATTCTCCTGCCTCAGTCTCCCAAGTAGCCACAGGTGCCTGCCACCACGCCTGGCTAATATTTTGTATTTTTAGTAGAGACAGGGTTTCACCGTGTTAGCCAGGATGGTCTCAATCTCCTGACCTCATGATACGTCCGCCTTAGCCTCCCAAAGTGCTGGGATTACAGGCATGAGCCACTGCTCCTGGCAGCTTTTTTGAGATGGAGTCTAGTTCTGTCGCCCAGGCTGGAGGGCAGTGGCACGATCTCGGCTCACTGCAAGCTCTGCCTTCCCGAGTTCACGCCATTCTCCTCCCCCAGCCTCCCGAGTAGCTGGGACTACACAGGTGCCCAGCTGGGACTATACCACGCCCAGCTAAATTTTTTTTGTATTTTTAGTAGAGACAGGGTTTCACTGTGTTAGCCAGGATGGTCTCAATCTCCTGACCTCATGATCCACCCGCCTCAGCCTCCCAAAGTGCTGGGATTACAGGCATGAGCCACTGCACCTGGCCCCCCATGATTTTAAGTCTTAGAAAACATAATGAGGATGTGAAAGATTGGCTGTATACTACAGTGTTTGAGCAAAAGATAAACAGAGACAAATTGCTGTAGGGTTATCTCTCTTCATCTGGAGCATAGACTGGGAGGGTAAAGAAAGGATATTTGAACTGGGCCTTGAGAGACAAGTAAAAATTTAGATGTGCTACAGAGGAAGAGAATTAGCAGTTACATATTTAGAGTACTTAGGTTGCTGATTAATTAGCTCAGCCTAACACTCTAAAAGAACGAGTTAATGGGACCAACAGAAGCACATGGCTTAGAGAATCTAAAGTTAAGTTGACTATGCCCACTGACATACTGGAAATAAAGAACCATACTAAATATTGTAACCAAGTTCCATATTAAGAGATTAGACCAAAAATAGGAGGTAGCTTTGGAAGTTTTAAGTAATTCTACAGCTTTCCTCTTCCATAGAGAAACAAAGTAAGCACTCAGAACTTCCCTGATTGTAATGTTTCCACTTTCTTTCTCTACTGTCACACATGGGAAGTAGAGACTAATTGTGGCTAAGAATACAATTTTTCCTACCTCAAATGATCTTGATTAGATATATGTCTACCTCCTTTTCTTTTCCAAACTCTCCTACCATGTGGCTAGTAGAGAGTACTTATACAAGACTATTTTAGAAAAATCCCAAGTTGACCCAGGTTAGTTCCTACTGAGTCAGATGGTAAAAGAAGACTTTTGCAATATAAAGAGAATAATTGCTTTTTAAGAACAAGCAATGGGTTTTGCCAAATATATAGTTTAGAATAGAGAAAAAAAATTGCAACTTACAACAGGAAAATAGTTGACAAGAGTGAGGACTCTCTAGGGAGATATTTAGTGAGGGAACTAAATTACCTAGGTAACCCAGAAATAGCATGAGACTCAATGTCTTGTGGAATAGATTAAAATCTTAGTGTTAAAATGCAAATGATGGGAAAGTGTTGCACAGGAGAACTATTCTTGGTCCTACGACTGGATTTAAGTTTCTTCCCTGAGACTGTAGAACTGACTTTCTTATGCTTTCAAAGGAGCTGCTTATCTGCTCTACACATTGGCATAAAAACACCTGTGATACTGCTCAGAGCGAACAGGTGTAGAACAAGGTCTGCCATGATGCATACTGTATAGCCTTTTAGTAATGATGCAAGAAGTAGGTAAGGGCATAACAAGGTGTCAGTTGCTGAGACCTACATTTAGTCTCTACTTTTCTTCTGTATTTCTACCTTGTATAGTGAACATCTTTATGTAACATCTTTTAAAAGATAAATGACAATGTTAGCACCAATATTCACATAGAATATTGTTTCAGAATGTTTACAACATGGAACGAAAGGATCCTAGAGCAAACTTCAGCATGTATTCATGGTATCTAAATGTGATCTTGCCACGCAGTTCTCAGCTGATTTGGCTTGACATGAGGTTGTATAGATTGCATACATAGGCATTTCTCACAATGATCTTTTGATAGATGCTGATTGATGGATGTGACACTGTATCCCCATTCTCTTGGGGAGAGAATGTCTTCCGCTCTGCTAATGCTTTAGAATGAGCAACTATTGTAGGCAGAGAATTAAAAAAGAATCCTTATCGGATCTTTGATCTGTGCTGGCTTGTAGTTTCTATGTCAGGGGTTAATTAACCCCCTGAAACTTTATGGGATTTTCTCATGTCCATGGCTTGCCTTCTTTTCTAGGATCAGAGCCATTTGAAAATCAAAAGGGGAAAACAGTCCTTTCTAAGCAATCTTCTGTTTGTCTCTATTTCTGGTCCTCTTCTTCCTTCTCCCAGATTCCTATTCCACATGTTTGTCTGATCTAAGATAAACTAGGTCCTGTCATTTAAATGGAACATCACCTTATTCCATTCTCAAGTTGATAACCCCATGTCAAAGATTCAAGTTTATTCCTTTACACAGAGAAGTACAGATTCTTTAGACTCTTTCAAAGCAACTGTTAGAAGTTATTTTATTTTTAGAATCTCAATACATTTGCAGATTAACATCATATTTTAACAAAATGCATAAGTCATCGAAGCCTTTACTTACCACAGTTCTTTTCATCACTGCCGTCAACACAGTCTTCATCCCCATCACATTTCCACAACAGCGTAATACAGCGACCATTTGTGCACTGGAATTGGGAGGGTTCACATTTGGCTTTTCTCCCTGGAATAAGAAGGGAACACTCAGCAAAGCAAGGATTGTTGTTATAGATTTAAGATACCTAATACCCATGGATGGGGACCTTCTAAGGAGGATACTGCAGACTCGGCAGGCTGTAACATCCTAAGGGCCAGAGTAGGATGAATCTTCAGCCAGTGACTGACAGTAATTGCGTTCTTAGCTGGGTCCACGCTAAGACTAAATACTAGATTTCCCAGCCTCTTTCTTAGTGAGGTACAGACAAGGGACTACATTCTGACTAATGGAATGTAAACTGAAATGGTATATACAACTTTAGAAAATATCCTTAAGAGGACAGAGGATCCATTTTCCTTCCATCTATTCATTTCTGGTACCTGAAAATTGGGCATGGTGGCTGGAATAGTGATCTCGGGCAAATGGAACCAGACCAAAATAGAAACAATCCAGATTGCCCAGAGACCACAAGGGGCATCATCTCTGCCTCTGGACTCATTTTTCTCATTTGTTGAAACTACATGTGTGGCTATAATCAGCCAAGTCCTAATCCTTTAATGGCATTTCTTGTCCACATCCATACTATTATTCATTAATGATGTTTCTATTATAAGCACAGTGAAGATTTAGAAGGAGCAACAAGAATAGGGTAGAAATAGAGATTGAATACATGATTCCTCCTCTTAGAAACTGAGGTCTAATTGGAAAACACAAGTTTACAAAACAGCTCCAAGATAAAAGCAACAAGAAAGTATAGTTAAGAGGGAAAGGAAGATCATTCGTCATTTAAAGACGAGAAGAAAGAAAAGTGAGGTGGAGCTGAAGATGTAGATTCTATTTCTCTGAATCTGTTCTTCTATGCTTAATGTATGGATATTTAATTCACACAATGGTGTGAACTAAGACTTGTAAGTGGGACAGTTGGTTTTTTTGCCCGGCACAGGCCAGCTAATGTTCAGGTGCTTCCTATCATTAGCAGTTCTGTCCTTCTGGCGGATGTGATTGCTTTATGATAAAAGGCACAGATGTGGCCGCTTAAAGCAAATATACTGCAAATATTTGAGAAAAACAGTGGAATCATATAGTTCACGCAGACTACTTAGGGAGGGTTTCCAAGCAGAAGGCCTTCCAATTTCCTGCCACCTTTCAGCATTTGCAGCTGTGGCATGCTGGCATAAGAACTGATATTACAGAGACAAGCACAGACTGGAACTCTTGTGTTACGTGCACAATACCCTAGCTGGTCTCCCTAGTGTCAGCTACTCCCTGCTGTCTGGGAGCATTCTGTGCTTTGTGGCTCTTCCCTGGGAGATTAAAATTTGACCCAAATCAAGATGACCATATGGGTGTGCTTACTTCCTTGGATATTAAATATGTAGCTTTTAAAACAGCATCTATCACTCTGCTCCCATGAGTCTAATTAAGCTAGGACCCAGCTACAAAGCAGAATGGTTTCCTACCTTCATTTCTTAATACTTTTTCATTCCTCACATGTTTTATGGGTTGTAATATACTAGGGATTTAGAAGGGGAGCTAGAGGAGGGTAGAGATTGTTGTCAGGAGGCATCACCTATGCGGTTTCATACTGCTAAACCAAATATGATGTACCTGGTGCCTCTCCCCTCTTCCCTCATTGCCACTGGATTCTTAATATGTCTGCAATATTCTCAATGCTGAGGGTACATGTCTTGTAGTTCTATATAACCTTATTACCTTTGGGGACTGTGAAGGTGGTAAGACTCTACCTTGAGTAATCAGAAAAAGAACGATTTGTAGTCTGAGAACATAGGTATAAATATACTTGGAAAGAACAGTCAGGTTGGAGTCAGGATACAGTAAAGGTTGAAAGCCTCTGATTTTTTTTTTTTAAGGTTTTCGTTACCAAAGGTTAAGTCAAAATGAGACAAAAACATTGACATTGATATCTACAGTGTCAAAATGGGAACCTTGTAATCAGATTTGAATAGCAACTTAAAGGTCAATGTCAAATGATAGTTTCCCACCTCAGGGTTAAGGCACCTGGAAGACAACCTCCTTAAAAATGAGTTTGAAGCTACAGATTTCATAGGCACTCAGAGTGGTCTGGGATTAAATATGGGTATACAGTATCCTAAGGCTGATATGTACTCTACTATTGCCTTAAAGAGGGTCTCTGAATTTAGTTGTAATATACAAGCTATCGACAGTAATAAATTCTATTAAAATCCTAGCAGCTCTGCTCCAAGAGTCTATATTGAGCAGACTCAGGACAGGCATCAGCATTTTCTACTAAGAAAATATCTGAAGCCAAAAAGGAGTTTAATTTCTAGCTTTTCTTATCCCAGATATTTCCACTTTACTCAAGTTTCTGCCTGATCATCATGAAGCTATGTTTTACCCTCTCTCTGTCAACCATACACACATATTCACACACACGCACACACTCCAATAAGAAGTAGCAATAGGCATTAGGAGTACAGTGTGCTACTAAAATGTCCCTGCTTGTTTAAAAGAATGACATTGGGGTGGCAGTGGGAAGACAAGCTGACTTTATAAAGGATTCTTTAAAGACAGGCAAATAAAGACCTTAAGCTTTATGGCTATGCCTCTTCGTTTCCTAAGCACTTTGTTTTGAGGGACAGCTACTGGGCAGAAAGTGCTCCCTAGTTCTGTTTAATTCTCTGCTTCCCACAGAGAGGGTGAGCCCAGACACTAAATCGAATGCCGATCCCTTAGCCACTGACTGGAACACTGTTAAGTTTTCTGTTCAAGTTTTTAAAAGGTTCTACCTTTCTACCTCTGGGACTTAGCTGGGACTGCTTCTGTACAGAGCTCTAGGAGAATTGAAAGCACCAAATGAGTTAAGAAGCTTTTGGTTTCCAAAGCTTTGGGGATTACAGGATTGTGGACCTGCAGTCTATTCCCATCCATGAAAGTTAAGTCTCAAATTCAGTATTATACTTTCATAAAGGGAACAAGTTGAGCTTGAAATCATCTACACTCGAGGTTCTTTTAATTCTTAGGGCTAAGCTAAAGCCGATGACACCTCAAAAAATACCTTGGAAGTAGAAGTGCTAGGCACTTCTGCTCAGACAGGTGAGAAGTTGGGGTAAAATGCAATTGTTAGTGGGTTCCTCAAAGCCATGAGGTTTCACAAGAATGCCTTAGGTTAAGGGGCGGTTGAAGTGGAGGGAAAGGCCATGCCCTGTGTGTTCCACCTCTGCCTCTACCAACACTTTCTTTTGAATGTTGGATTTTGTTGGAAGAATTTGAAAAGGGTTCTGTTAAGAAATTGTATAGGTTTTCTTCCAGCTCTAATACTTAGAATATCTCTGCTCCTTTGGGTGAGGAGGTTGGAAGTCACTTGTACCTACTCACTTATGTGGCTATTTAAATTTGTAATGCATGAATTCCTGGAGTGTCAACAAAATTCTCACCTTTACTATCACTTACATAGATGGAATCAGACTACGCACACTTCAAGGCACCTATTTTCCTGGGAGCCTTGCTTCTCTAAATAGTTAACATTGCTACACAGACACATTGGCAGTTCACTGGCTCCAAGAAACTCAGGGTTCTTCTTGGTGCTGTTTGTATAAATTTATGGGGTACATGTTAAATTTTGTTACATGTATGTAATGAATGCATACTGATGAAATCCGAGGATTTAGAGTGTCCATCATGCGAGTACATTTTTGTTAACTACAGTCATTGATGTTATTTCTTCTATCTTACTGTATATCTGTATTCTTTTACCCGCTTCTTTTCATCTGCCCTCCCTTTCCCCCGACTTCTGAGTCTCTGTCATCTTTCTACCGTCTACCTCCATGGAATGAAATATTTTAGCTTCCCCACATGAGTGAGAACATAAGATATTTGTCTTGCTGTGCCTGGCTTATTTCCCTTAGCATAATGACCTCCAACTCCATCCCCATGCTGCTGCAAATGGCATTATTTTCCCTTTTCTCCATATCCTCAGCAACATCTGTTGTATTTTGTCTTTTTAGTAATAGCCATTCTGACTGGTATAAGATATGTCATTGTGGTTTTGGTTTGCGTTTCTCCGATGATTAGTAATGGCAACGAATTTTTCATGTATCTGTTGGTTATTTTTATGTCCTCTTTTGAGAAATATCTATTCATGTCCTTTGTCCACGTTTTAATGGGATTTTTTTTTTCCCCTGTTGAGTTTGCATATTCTGGATATTAGTCTCCTGTCAGATAATAGTTTGCAAATATTTTCTCCCATTCGGCAGGTTGTTCTTCACTTTGTTATTTCTTTTGCTGTGCAGAAGCTTTTTAGTTTAATTAAGACCTATTTCTCTATTTTGTTTTTGTGGCCTAAGCTTTTGAGATCTTTTTCATAAATTCCTTGTCTAGACCAATGTCCTAGAGAGAAACGCAGGGTTTTTAAAGCATGTAGAAGTCAGCCTGCCATTGTCTAATTTTCCCTGCAGGGGTTGACTTGGGAGAACAATACATAAGCTTCAGTAAAAAACTGCATAGGCCTTTGAGTAAATACCAAGCCTTCCAGATGGACTACAAATCTCCCTATGGGGCTCTGAGCAGCACCCTGGCAGGAGCACTCCAACATGCATGCCCAGAATATAGAGAAAGTAGCTCTGGTACCAGGCTCACAGTGTACTTCAACCTGCACAGAGGCTCATGCTGCCACACTGCTGGGGCTACCAGGGCCAAGCATTTAATTCTTTCATGCCCTTACTCATTGCTTGAGCATATGGGTGTTATTTGCTGGAATTCCTTCAGTCCATTTGTTCTGGCACTTCTGGGGCCACAAAGGGCATTTATTTTTAGCCTAGTTCACTTTACTGCCTGCCACTTTAATGCCAGTGTTTCTATTTGTAAGCTAAAACTCCTTTCAGGACAAGCAAATTTCTGAGTCAGCAAAAAAGTTTTCCTATGGGGAGAAGGGTTTGTAAGAGGCAAAGTACCACAACAGGTGTTAAGGGAAATGTTCTGAGCTGTCAAGCACAAAGGTTGTGTTCTGGCCTTAAAGTCAGCCTCTGAAACATTGTAAGAACCAGTTT